ACATTCCTGAAGAACATTAATGGAAAACTATTTGTGCGTTCTAGGCGAGTCCAGTGTTTGTTACTGTAGTGGTCTTTAGAAATGTGAGTTGAAAAACTGTACTTTCACTTTTACAAAGAGATTTCATGAAGAATCTCACTACCTTAAAGAGGTATTGTTTGTTACATGGGTTTAAACTTTCTGAGCACAGCAACATCGCCGCAAACAAACCTGTTGTTCCTTATAAATCATCTGTGGTACTGTGTGTGTGTACTACGAAGCGAGGTAACCGGCTTATCCGGGTAACTTCAGGTGTAACTTCCCGATCAACCGTGCTACAGAAGGTGGATGGTTTTACCTGAGGTCTGCTGCCCTGCTGGTTTAAGCTGAAGGTTGTCTCGTGGTTAACTCGAGGTTACCCTGTATACGTTTGCAGTAAACGTGTCTCCTCATATCCTGAAAAAAGTCCGCCTGCACAGTGAAAACGCTCCTCAACACGCAACAACTCCAATTAAATTAACCAACATCTTATTCACCGTCGTAGTTTAACTCCAGTGAAGGCGGTCCGAGTTTGTCAACCCTGAGTTGGCTTGACGACCCTGAGGTTAAACTCCCTGTCTGATCGTCCGCCAGCTTGTGTTTGTGGACCATGTTTGTGCATGTTCACTGATCTCAGATATTAACTTGTGAGCACAATTTTAATATTACTGATACAAAACAACACATCCAAAGTAACGTCAAAGCGTCAATAATACCGAGGGAGACCGAGTCATTAGTTCAGTCCAGTACCTGCAGGCGTACAGCATGTTGGACATGAATGTGACGGGGCTGACGCTGCGGGACGTGTCCATCACGTAGATCACGACACACGGGAAGGATGACGCCTGAAACACACAAGTGTGGAATATAAACTGACTGCGATGTTATCATTAAAATGAAGCACAAGAAACCCCCCCAGAGCGCAGGCCTACCAGAGCCTCTGTGATGATGGTTCCAGATGCAGACCAGGTGAAGACTTCAATCTGACCCGGCGTGTCAATCAGCACGTACCTGCAGAGGTCAAAGGTCGTCAACACACAGGAGAGATAGAGGCAAAGTTGAAGTTGTGTGATGTTAACAACAGTTTTTATTTGTAACTAAAGGAAAAGGAGAATTAAAGCGAGATTACAGTTCTTATTCCACTGCACTTTGCTTTTGCTTTGATTAGACACCTGGTCTGGTTTTTAAAGAAGTTCTCTGGATGTATAAAACCTCTTAAAGGTCACCAGGTCGCTCTCTTTAGCTGCGTCTAAGCTGCTTAGATCATTAATACAAATATAAATGTTTAAACTTTTGTCAGTATCGTTAGATTGGGTAGATTCTCCACAATTAAAACGTTAATTTCATTTTACATTTCAGTCCGAATGTGGCCGTTCCTGATAATTTATCTTCCTTCAGTCTGTCAGGGTCCACCGATCAAAAGAATCAAAACGGCTTTTCATAATAATGAATCCAAGTTGTGAATCCTGCATCGTGTTGTTGGGTACGCTTGTTTTTATTACCTCGCTGCCTACTAAATTAAAAAGTGCCTAAGCCGTCTGTTAGATCAAATGAATGATTAGAAATTGACATTATTAAATTGATAATTTTCCTACTGGTTGATTTAAATGGGATGATAGCAGCCTGAAAGTCTCATCTGTTATCAATCCCAGACACAACGTGTTGCTGATACTGACCGGTGATTCTGCTGCTTCTTCTCTATGAACTGCATCACCTGAAGAACATAAAACACAAACGTACACTTGTTAGCAGGGGCGGGAATCTCAAGGCACCTCACGATTCTTCAGTTTTATTTATTTAGCGCCAATTCACAACAGAGGTTCTCTCACTGCAGGTCTAGACCGAACTCCCTGCAATGTTATTAACCCAATCAGACCGGCGGCGACGTCTGCAGGCTTTTACCTGTTCAAGTAGATGTCACTGTTTTCAAGACACATGAAATGCATCGTGTAAGTTTCCTGTTAATTAACGAGACCACAGTGTTCCGCCATAGTTTCAAAATGAAGCGAGAACATTTCTACACTTCTAGCTGCTGTAAGCTCGCACGCTCACTCACCTTGGCAACCGACTCGAGACAACCACTTTTCTTTTGAGGTAACTACGGTAACGTTAAGGGTTTGAACAGCTCGGAGGCGTTTCCCCTGTCACACGTTTGTGACAACACCGTCAGCTAGCTGCAGCAAAATTTGGAGTGCACACATATTCAAGCCTTTATGGTAAATGCACAGGAAATAAGATTAACTGGATTATATTCACAGGAAGTATAAAACATGTTACATGTGTCCATTAAAAGTAAAAAAACACAAGAAAATATTAGGCAAATTACTGACTAATTATTCTTTGATTTAGGGTTGCTGTAAAAACATTAAATAAATACGTTGACTTTCGCTGTCATCAAATTGTTTACTAGAGCACACAATAGTTAAAAAGAAAGTTCTTCATAGATCTGACCTATTTATGTTGCTTTCAATGTGCACCAGATTAATGCATTCAACTCTAAAATTTACTGAATTTTCTTTCTATGATCAGCGACCGGCCGGTCAGCTGCTGTCTGCGTCTGCGAGACTGGGCCAAACTAAAACATTCAATTTTGAGCGGCCCCTCCCAACTTGGACCGATCCTCGTTTTTGCTGTGACCTGATTGGCTCAACGGTGCCGATCAAAGGAGTTTACTTTTCATCTGGTTTGTGTGACCAGCGCAGCAGAGACAGTGCAACAAGAGGCATCTGTAACTATTTCAGCCTTCTGACTGACTGTCCACATGACAGGTTGGTGGTTAGCAGCAAACTGTGACTTTAGTTTTAACCAGGCTCGACCTGCTTTCGTTCAGCAGTGCTGACTTGCTTAAACAAACCGAGGAGTTCAGGCGTCATCCTAAAGTTTCTTGAAGGTCTTCAACACAAAAACACTATTAGTATTTAAATAAAGATTGTTATTGGATGTGAACAGTGAAAAAAGGTTATGAATGTGTGGGAAATAAAGATGTTTAGATAAATAAGTTTATTCTCATTGATGCACTCATCTACCAAACTCTGTTTGAATAAGAATATTTTGAATGCTTATCAGGGCAAATATCGATATGTGATTCATTTTGATTCATTCGATTATTTTTTGAATCGCTTGACAGCCTTATTTATTATATATCTGCTATATTATAAACAAGGTCAAACTACAATTAAACTATCAGTGCATAAATTAAATATAAATGACGTGCATTAACTAACGCTGCTGGCTCACTGGATGTCTCCATCTTTGTATATTGACACTCATCACAGAAACGGTTGCTGCTGCAAATGGTTTTTATTTCATGTTTCTATCGGCTACAGAAGCAGATAGAAACATGATGGAAACAATTAAAGGTTTTCAGAAAACCCTCAGGTGTAAGGGGGTTGTTTTAGAATGGGTTACAGCTCGCAGAGGGGGTGGAGTCACCTGATCAAAGCGCGTGGCGAACAGGTTGAGTGACGTCACGATGCCCCCGTTTGGCCCGAGGCCATACTGCTTCATCACCTCCTTGTAGTTCACCGTGTCCCTGATGTCTGCAGGGAAGAAGACGAGACAAGCTGAAGGCTACGGGGAGCAGGAGGGTCAAAATTAAATCCAACACGGTCTGCTCTAAGTGTCCAGGAATTAGACCGGCCCTCACCGATGTTTGCAGGGAAGGGGACTTCGTGGACGGCAGGGTCCAGGTTGATCACATAGGGAGGAGCTTTAAGAGCGTGAAGGTGAGCCGTCAGCCTCTGAAAGAGAAAACAAAAACACAGAGTATTTAATGAAGAGGGAATCACCGTGTCTGCAACACAGTTCTTACCAGCCTCATCACTGGGTCATGTTTGGATGATGATAATAATATTCTGCCTGAATCTTTGTTTATAGGTGCACAATGGCGCCAACCACCGGCCTGTTGTGGTGCTGCAGACTGCGGAGAACTGTCGCATCCAACACCCTCTGAGCGATAACACGTCAGGCGTGCATCAAGTGTGTTGAAGGACAAGGCTGGCGATATTCATTTGTCATTAAAATATTTAAGCCAACTCGGTGATTGTCCGTCTCGAAGTACCGTCTGAAGACGTAAATCTTTAAAAACTCCTCTCAGATTTATAGTTTCGTGTTTAAAAAGGTTCAGTATTTTCCTCAAGCAGCTGCTCGCTGTAGTTTCTATCAGACAAACAGGGGGAAACAGGGTTTGTTGACAAGAAGGAAAAAAGCATTTTCTTTTTTTAAACTGCGGATGTGTGTTGTCAAGCTAGCTCCATTACTAGTAACTATAGATTATATACTAGTACGTAAGTTTAAGTTTCTAGTAACCATTTCCATTTCACTAGTCACTAGTGTTAGACATTAGTGCTTATTTTCTAGTAACTAGAAACTAATTGCAAATGTTTGCCATCGAAATCTACGGGTCTCTGCAGTTCAGATATCTTTTCATAACTAACTATTTCCATTTCACTAGTCACTAGTATTAGATATTAGTGCTATTTTGTAGTTAGCAGTAACTATTCTAGTAAGAATAAAAATGTTACTATCAACAAACTATTTTACTTAGTCATTAATGAATGATTAAGTAACTAAAAAACACAATAGTAAGATTGGAAACGGTTACTAGTAAGTAGGGCTGGGCAATAAAACAATGCTGATAATTACTGCAATGTAATTTTCCTCAAAAACAAAATAGCAAATGTTCAATATATCATCGATAAATGTTTGATTCAATTAATTTAAATCAAGAACGTCAGGTTGTCTCTTTAGTGTGAAGAGACGCTGTGAAGTCTTCATGTTACAACATTATTTATCAAACACATGTGACAACGTCCGGTTTTCAAAATAAGGCGTCTGTACAGGATGGAAATAAGATTAATTGGATTATATTCACAGAAAGTATAAAACATATTACATGTGTCCATTAAAAGTAAACGGACACATGTAATTTACTTTACCGGACCTGAGAACATTTTTACTATTTAATTTACGCAATGGTAAAAAAAAAATAAAAATAAAGGTGACATTTGTGATTCTACTTGTTCGGCAATTATTTTCATTATATTCGCTTTCGGCTTCGGCCAAGAATTTTAATTTCGGTGCACCTCTAGTTACTATCAATAGTTACTAATAACTAAAACTGAAGCACTAATATGTTGTTGTTATTAATAATAACAGTTACTAGTGACATCTGTAATGAAGAGCCAAATGGCAAAAAGGTGCAAATATTTACTATTAGCAACTAAAAATGAAGTAGTAACTACTAAATAAGTACTAGTAGTTTTTATAAGTTGAAGCCTCCTCGTGAGCACATCGCGGAGAGGCAGCATCAGCATCACGTCACAGCACGCAGCTAACGTCAGGCTGCTGGCTAACGTGAGCAGGGACAGATCACGGGGATGAAACCCGCCGCTTTCTCTCATATCCACTCAGATCTAACAACAACAACAACAACAACAACAACAACCGGGAGCAGAACACGTGTTTGGTTCCTAATCAAACAGCCACGTGAGCAGGTGTAACTTTCTGAAGACTCACGCAGCTAGCTCCCGTTAGCCACACTCGTCACTAACGTTACCTGCACAAAGGTGGTTTTCCCGCTCCCCGCCATCCCCAGCACGATCAGACACACGGGTTTGTCCCGGGCAGCAGCTCCCGGTGTCCCGCTGTCTTTCCCCGCCGCTGAACTCTCCCGGTTCTCCGTTAAAACCTCCTCAGCACCGGGACTCTGCGCAGCCTCCGCCATGTTGTTGATTGACGTTATGGGAACCGGCTGCCGTAAAGACACTGGCACTGTCGTGAAAGGAGGAGGAGGAGGAGGCGGAGGCGGAGGTTTGTATGTAAACTTGTGATCAAGAACAGCTAATCCGCAGGTAAACTGCAGACATAACTCACAAAACAAACAACAGAAAACCCTCAAAGAAATACACAGGTTTTTATTTTGTTAGGAAGAAGCCCAGTGAGATTTTCAATTCAATTCAATTTTATTTATATAGCGCCAAATCACAACAACAGTTATCTCACAGCGCTTTTCATAAAAGAGCAGGTCTAGACCGAACTCTGTGATGTTATTTACAGAAGATGTAAACCTCTTTTTAAAGGAGACCTGGCCAAGAAAGGCAGCAAAACACCGTTTAACAGTTACACTGATAACACACGTGACAATCCAGAGTCCTCCTGGAGGACATCTGCTGAGTGGAACCACCACCTCCTGGAAATGGAAATAAGGGACTGGGGACGGGGAGTGCGGGCATGACTGCATTATTATCTACTGTATCTAAATACGTATTTCACATGGTTGTAAGAAGTCCTGTTCATACCATGTATCTAGCTAAGCAAGACAATTTTCCCCGTTTATCACTGTGTGTACTTAGTCCTCAGGAGTCATTGGCAAATAGATACAAAGTCCCGGCAAGATGCCATTTAGAAAAACTTAATGTGTCCCTAAACGCCCCACTGCTGGGAAACACAAAGTGTTTTACTCAAGAACTTTCTTTTATCATGTTCTTCAGTAGTGCAAACAACTTTATCTTTACAGTGCAAAATATTATTTTGGCATTCTTTAGAATAAAATAAAATAAAACTTCATGGATGAATTCTTAAATCACAAAGTAATATGGTAGTAATAGTGAATAACTATGCCTGTAAACCCCCCCAATATATTTAATTTTTAAATGTGTCCACTGCATGGGACGCCATGAATCAACGGCATAACAAGTGATTCAGTGCAACTCAAAATAGATTAATAAAACTATATGTTTTTAAAACATTTAGCAAGTCGTATTATACACTGAACAAAATTATAAAGGAAACACTTTTGTTTTTGCCCCCATTCATCATGAGCTGAAGTCAAAGATCTAAGGCAAAGGAGAAGTGCTCACTAACACAGATTTTGACAGATTTATGAACAATATTTGAGAGAAATAGGCCTTTTGTGTACACAGAGATCTTTGAGTTCAGCTCATGTTGAATGGGGGCAAAAACAAAAGTGTTGTGTTTATAATTTTGTTCAGTGTATATTATGAATTGTCACCTGATCACTAAATTTTGTGTTTCCCTTTATATAAACATATTTACACGATAAATAGGTGCAGAATATTTCTCCAGAATGAAAGAAATGAAGTGTTTAATGCTCAGAGACCCCCTGTCATATATTTCAGTATTGAATATTTAAAATATCTTCTCATATACCTGATATTGTGCATCATCACGTCTCCTGAGCTAAATGTTTCGTCACTCCTCTAATCTGAGCCCTTTTCTCCCCAACACTTTCGAACACAAAGTGACGCCTAGGCTTCTTTGCTATTCTCTTCTCAAAAACAGACTTTAAAATACTTGAAACAGCACAAAACAGAAACAATAATACCGTAATATTACCATTAAACTCTTGTTCCGGAACTTTTACTGAAGATTAAGCATGTTCATAGTGAGAAAAACATTCAAACTGGACAAAAAATGAATTTGAAATGACTTTGTCTCATTGTATAACCAAACTCTTGTGTAGAGCAGCCTCTCCAGCAATCAGTTGTTGAAGCACTTAATTAGCACATCCTGATGGAGACGATAAAGAAATACACGTAGGAAGATTAAACAAAAACCTGCGTACAGCTGAAGACGTTGTTGGCTGTGCATAGCATCTGTTTAAGCAACAGCAGGAGGACGACCTCTTTGTCTTTGCAGTTATTCAGCCGCCAGGAAGCCACAAGATGGAGCTCCAACACAGTAATACAGAGAAGTGATAAGCAGGCAGCGAGCACAGCATGACTTGTAGGGTTGGACCAGCTGTTTTAATTATTTATTCAGTTGGTATTATACAATATTTAAAATAACATATACTTTATATTTACTGATACAATATGCATAAATGCTTCTATCAGATGTTTTACATGAGGTACTTTGCATTTAAATCAATAATGTCCTGCAGCCAGCCACCGTCCATCGCTGCGTCACCCCCCCCCCCCCCCCCGGCAGGCAGATCAGCTCTGTGCAAGTGCAGCCCCCCCCTTCATTTCAATGAAACCTGTGCTGCTGCAGTGGGGCTCCTGATATTACCTGCAGATAGTGGAAGAAGATAAATATAGTAGATAGTTGTATAAGCCTCCAAGTATCTTATTTACTACATGTTAGTGGACGTAATAATCCAATTTAACAAAATGTGCAAATGTGCACCAACTGAATGTAAGTGTGTGTGTGCTTGTTTGAAAACATACAAACACAATTAAACATTTTCTTTGTTGTTAGAACTAATCCAGACTCTTGTAGCCATGAAGTAGCCTCCCTTACAGCTGAAACATTAGCACTTATAATTTGTAATGAAAATATCCACACAGACACACAACAAACTAAGTTACCAGTACCCTTACTCCGAAAGTCCACTGCTCCACGGTTTTGTTCCGTCCTCTGCCCGGCGTTAACCTCCACTGGAAGCGTCTCAGAAGCGTTTCAGCAGCGTTATTTTAACCCAAACCATGACCTTTTCCTAACCTTAACCAACCAACTTTTGTACCTGAACCGACCCAAACTGCAACGTTTCACAACTTTAATAACATGCCGTTTGAAAATGGCCGTGTTTTGAAACACTAGCGTTTTATTTTCAAAGTCTAACCTGACTTGCATATTTGTTGTTGCTAATGTCTAAAAAATGGCGCTAAAGTGGTACCCAGGTCATTAAAAAGCGACGGCAAAGGGCCTCCACCAAGCGTCAACATGTGACAAATTGGGAGTGATAACGTGTTGGGTTAGCCGGTCGACGTGCATTTATTCACTGACTTAGGTTTAAGGCTCGTGCAGACTACACGGCCGATGGCCGTGCCGTTCACACTACACAACTTGACGTCACACTATGTGACTGATCAGTGACAGCGTGTCTCACACTACATGATCTGACAAGGACTGTGTCACCCGACGCTGGTCTCCAAACCACGTTTAGTCAAGAAAATACACGGGAAATGTGAAACGGGAAATCATGCGAATCTACACATGAAACAGCTGTTTGTTATTATAAAGAATGTATAAAGGATGGATCAGCACACGCAGGTAGCAGGTAGGATCGTCTGAGCTCCAGAGAGCTGGAGGGGAGTAAAAAGGGTTTTGCAGTGAAAAGCAGCTGCCTGCTCTCATTGGCTGGATGTGGATGTCGAGTCGGCGTTTCTGGTCACCCCAGGGTGTCGTATACAGACGCGCCTGGAAGCATCTGAAATAACTCGCTTGTTGTGACGTCTGAGATGAGAACAGGCTGGATGGAACGCAACGATCGATCAGTGACAAGTGACGTTGACTGCAAATAGAAATGAGTGTTAAAGGATATCAGAGGCTGAAACAAAGGGGAAGCCCAGCTGGTGGTGATGAACTTGTAACAGTGACGAACACGCCCGAGACCTCAGCCGATGCAGAGGGGCTGTTAAAATCACACATGGACTTACAAGTGCGTGCAGACAGAGAGAAAAGAGTTATGGCCTTCTCTTTCTTTCGGTGTGTTACAACTACCAGCAGTGTTTGTTCCTACATAATAAGAGACACAAAGCCAGTGGAAATGATTACCGTGACATAACATGGCCCCGTTGGTGTGGAAACAGGACTGTATTATACACACAACACAGAGTGTGAACTGGACTCGGTGCCGTCACCGTCACATGTCTGTAACCTGCTCCAGAGTCCAGCCCGCAGACTGTTTCCTGCACTCTGAGCTCATCCCACCGGGGGCTCATTAGTGGGACTTTACTCTGCGTTTAGTCAGCGTCAGGCTGCAGAGGGAAAGAAGGACGGCGTCCTCAGCCAGAGGGTCGACCTGCAGGGCGTCCTGCACGATAGGGAGGAGGCCCGACAATCTGGGTTTTATAAAAGGACTGCAGAAGCCTCGCCTGGTTCCAGACATCTGAATCATGTCTCAGGTTCTTCCAGTTCTTCCAAACAAATGAGCAAATCAGTGAGCAGTTAGCACTTTGCTGTTGTGTATTTTGACTCGGTGGCAGCAGGGCGTGTGTCTTACGGATGAAATCAAACAGGTAGTACCGGTAAAATGGTCTCAGGGAATTCACGACGCCTGTAGCAGCTAATCAGAGGTCGCTGAACGCCAACAACACGTCCTCCTAATGAAACAACAGAATGTGTGCTTTCATCGAGAACTACACACACAAGTGTTTTCTGATCTGACTTCCCGATCAGCAGAAGACGGAGCTCCATTTCTCAAGCCGCCTGTTTCCATGCAGATAGGTCGGTGATGTCTGCACACACAATCAGATCACCTGCTAATGACGGTGCGGACAGTCTGTCCTAAAGATCTGATTTGAGAAACAAACCTGATCTCCCTGCAGTCTGAACGAAGCTGAGGGTTTTTACACCGTCTGTTGAGCCACATTTCTGCAGATTCTGACAGTTTTATTCTCATTTGTTTTGAAACTTTGAAAGGTTGCTGTGCAGGAAGACGAACCCCTCCCCACTGGGGCCCTGTGGCCCGGCTCGGCTTGACCGCGGTGCCGGCTGACAGCCCGACTGTGGAAGATTAATCCTGGGTGGCTGACCTGCTCCAGCCGGCATCCAGAGAGAGAGAGAGAGAGAGAGAGAGAGCGAGGAGATGTAGATGCTTTCCTGTTTTTATCAGATCCACTTATCGATGTTGTTTATCCAGCGGTTCAACAGAACCAGTCAACATGTCTCTATGCTGACCCCGATTAGTCGAAGATTCAATGCTTCTATAGAAAGAGCCTGATTCAACTCCCAATCTCACCACTGAGTCTTTGCAGACGCACTATGAAATGAAGATCATCGTTTTGGCTGAATGTCG